TTTCTTCCTGTAGGCTTCTTTTGGAACATTATCACACGTACCATCCTCTTCAGTTAAAGGTAACTTTGCTTAAGACAGTACTTTTTCTACCCAATAAATAAAGTGCTCTCTAAGTGTACCACTTTTGACTCTGCATTTCTTCCTGTAGGCTTCCCTGCAAGTCTTCTCAGGGAGGACCCAAGAGCCAAAACAGTACCAAGATGCAGACACAACCCAGACCCTCAACCCAAGCCAGGCAGAGTCAACAATGCAATAATGACTCTAATATCCACATAGCAGCAATGGCTGAAAACTCAGATGTAAAAATTAATAGTGTAGGGGGGGCCTGGCTCTAGCTCAGTTCTTTAAGTGGCTGCTTCCACAAAGCTGTAAGCCTCAGCTTATTCTAGTTCGATCCCCACAACCCTCCAGCCAGCCAAAAGTGCCCTGAAGGCATTCGAGGAGCAAAAAAAAAAAAAAATCCTTAAAAATTAATAGTGTAGCTCACAGGATTTCTTAGTATGTTGGATTAAACTGGTCAAGTCATTTGTGGGATAGTTGGATCCTTGAGGAGGGAACTGAGCCACTGAAGTATAACATTTATAAAAGCTCAGGGAAAAGTGAGATCTGAACCCCCCAGATACAGGATTCTTCCATGGACTGAGGAGACCAGATTTTCCAGAACTTTGAGCCTGATAATGGCAAAGCTGGGTGGGGAGGTGGTGTGGGCGTCAGGCAGGAGGATTTCCTTCTAATGTGGAAACTAGTAGAGCATGTCATCTTGGCACATGACAATTCCAGGCAACTGTACTCTGAGATGGCACTTTCCCGCAGCAAGAGGCCAGGCTCGAGGGCAACGGAGGACCTGGTGCTGCCAAGGGAGCTCATTGTCTGTTTTAGCCAACACCAGGCACCCTGTTCTTAGAGCATTTTCTAACCAAGGTTTACAACTGAATTTACATGTGACATCGAAGTGTCTCTCCAAGGACCCGGAAGTCTCTCAGTCTCTGTGGCAGAACAGACTCCTAACTTCCATAACTGCTACCAGCAGACACAGCTAATACCAACCGTCAAACATCAGAACACAGGAAATAAAAGATGGTACCTGTGGAGGCCCACGGAATTCTCCGGAATCCCACCCAGGGTGATTGTGCTAGCACTGTGGTGAGCTCCACTGGGCACCCTGGGAATTCTTCAGGGCTTTCCCTGAAATCTACAGTGAAGGCCCTTCTCTGGGGGGCCTTTCATCATTCTCTATTGGCAAGGCCTGACATTGCTGCGGCTGCAAAAGAAACACATCTGCAGGATCCAGCCCTTAAAGACTCTCTTTCTCTGGCTCCCTACCCATGCTTCTGTGAGCCCCTCATGAGCTCCAGACCCCTATCCCCGGGCCCTGCCAATGTGGGCTTCTCTGAGCAGGGCTTCCTTCTAAGTGGCTTAGTTTTCTGTGTCCAGTCAATGCGGAAGGCCACTCTGACCTCAGGGAAATTGCTATTAGCCACAGATGTCCAGGACATGAGGGAGGGTTTCCACCCAAAGGCCCACGGCCGACAGGGACCTTGCAGCCCAATGGCCTGATCTTGGCCTTAGGACATAAAGGGCATCTGAGACTCCTCAGGGCTCAGAGCCTTGGTGCAGATGAGCTGCCACAAGGCTGGCTACAGGTTCTTTCATCTTCAGGCTCCATGCGCAAAGGGTTTCCACCAACCCTGATCCAGGACAGCACAAGAAGGTGCAGAATTGCCTGCGCAGGCACAACCTGGGCTCAGAGATGCCCTGCCCCATCTGCCCCAGCCCTGCAATGAAGGACAGCTGTAGGGGCACACCGTGGGAGGGGGAGGCTCCTGGGGTCTGTGACCTTTGAGGCCTCGGGAGCAGGACACTTCCCCGCTGGGCCATGGAGATGCCCTTCTTGGGGAGAGCATGGGCCCCTAGGGTCGTCCACCCTCTTTGTCCTCTGATGAGTAGCCCATCCAGTTCCGGGGTGCTTGCCTCACTGGTGGGCCGCCCTGTACGAGGGACCGGCTGAGAGAAGACTTTTCTCTAGAACCTGCCGGCAGCAGACTTCTTATCGAATCTTTCTGCTGGAAGCTCCCAGCTCCATGATAACTGGAGGTGCTGTCTTAGGGGCGCTGAGTGTATTTTGCATGTAAATAATCTTATATGCAGGAAGGACTGGTATTTGTAAGAATTTGGCACTATGTATTATATAATCTGTGGCCTTCTTACTGAATCAGCCTCCTGGCCCCTCTTCAGAAAGACCTTTCCTCCCAGCCTGCCCCACAGAAGCACCTCCTGAGGAGAGGAGGGGCTGCATCTCATTCCTTGGAATCTGGACTCAGCTGTGAGCATTTTTGTGTTTTCCCGTTTTCTGAATTTTGGGGGCATCTGAATCCAGGCCTTGCTGCCCCTGAGGGTCAGGCCCTCCTACGTCAGCTCACGTCTAGCCTGGCAAAGACCTCACCTGTAAGTCCCACCTTCCACTTGCAAAGCACCCCACCTGGGCCATGGTCCAGCACCAGCCACCCGGCCAGCCACCAGGGCCCACTCTGAAAGCCCAGACTTGTCGACTTACTCCCACTCCCCAAATGTAAGTCTCTCGGCCTCTCATTCACTCTCTTGTCCCAGTCCCTCCGTCTGCCCAGCTTGCTGGGTTACGTCACCCAGTGGCCTTGCTTGCTGGGGCATCCACCTGTGTGCAGAGAACTGTGCCTGTGCTGAAACTTCCCTCCCTCCTGATCGTCCAGGCCGTGTTTGATCATCTTCCCACTCCTATGAAAACAAAACCCAGGCCGGTCAGGATGACACAAGCCCGTAATGTCAGCCACTCGGAGGACTGAGGTTGGAGGATCTTGAGTTTGAAGCCAGCCTGGCAAACTTGGGGATATCTTATCTCAAAATCTAAAGGGCTGGGGAAGCAGCTCTGCGGTATATGAACTCACGTGCATGGGACACTGAGTTCCATCCTTATATGTTTAAAAAAAAAAAAATCAAGCCCAGCAGACCCTGGTGGTGCACATGGCCAGGGAAGCTGACCGACTTTATTGACAGCAGGGGCTCGGGGAGCTGCGCATGCTGAGCCTGGTCCTCCTGCTGCTAGGAGCTCTGTTCCTGGGTAGCAAAGCGCCGTACAGTGCCAGCTCCTCCTTTCTAGGCCGTCTCTGGCTTGTCTTCCTTGTACTAAGTTTCTCTGGCCAACTTACAGGCGTCTGTGGACCCGGGAGAAGATAAAGGGCAGAGGGGAGGGTTGGTGTAGTCAGCGGCTGACTCAGGAAGAAAAAAGCTGAAGGGGATAATGGAAATCGTGCTTGGAAAGGAAGTCAGGAATCAAGTTCCTGCTCATTACCAGTACGAGGAGGGTTAATGAGTTCGTTTGTTTTCAGTTTCTTGCTGTATACAAACTCCTGAAAGAGCTGCAGGATCTCTGGGTTTTCATCCAGCGTGTGGGCTGCAGGTCAAAGGGGTGAAGTGGGCATGGGAAGGCAAGGTCCCCGCCTCTGTCCCATGGGTGTGAGGAAGGGCTGGGTGCTCATGGCTCCCCCAGGGCCCCCACACACTGCCTGAAGTCTAAGGAAATGCTTCTCATCAGCCTGGGCCATGAGAGTGGGGGGCAGAGGCAGGGTTTGCTCCACACGCATGCTCTGGACTCAGAGAGGCCCTGCCCCAGCCCCTCTGAGGGAGCATGTGGTGGAAAAAAGAGGGGTCCCCCATCTGTGCCCTTCTTACTGAATCAGCCCTGGCCCCTCTTGAACAAGACCGTGTCTCCCAGCCTGGCCATGAAAACTCGCAGCGCCCATCAGAGCTCGTCTGGGCCCACCAAGCGCCTGCAGCTCCTCCGGGGCCTCTACCCAGGTTCCCGGTTCTGGAATCTCGGCCAGAAAATCGAGTCCCAGATGCCAAACCCTGAGCTCCTCCTGGGTAGCAGTGTGTGTGTGAGGCCCATAACCTGCCAAAGGCACCCTGCACCCCGCGGGCCCCCCGCCGGCACTGAGCCCGCACCGTGTGGGGTTTGCCCTCCCCAGACTCAGGGCTACTCGGGGAAGTCAGGGCCTTGTGAAATTCCAAGGAGGAGCAGGAGAGAGGAAGTGACTCAGAGGCTCCTGGGAGGGTCTGGGCAGTGCCAGTCAGGATCTGAAGACAGGACCAGGGCGCGGAGTGTAGGGCTTTTTGTACCCTCTTCCTGCTCCAACCCAGGGCCCTGCACAGGACCATGGGGTCCCCGGAGCCTCCAGGGCAGGAGGCAGGGGTGGCCTGATAAGAAGGGTGGGGAGGGACAGGAAGATGGATGAGGAATGCTCTGCAAGACCAAAGGAGGCAGCGTGGTGAGGCTTCACGTGCAGAAGGATCCTCGGAGCGGAGCGGGGAGTGGGGGCTCAGAAGGGTGAGGAGAGCTGCAAGCTCAGGATGGAGGGGGGCTTGGATGGGCAGTGACAGTGACAGGCTCTTCATTGGGTACTCCTGCCCTTCAGGGTGTTCCCCCCCCCATTTATGTATTTGGTACAGGGATTCACTTTGCAGCTCAGACTTGTAGTGATCCTCCTGTTTTCAGCCTCCCGAGCGCTGGGATTACAGGCGTGCACCACCACGCCAGGACTTGGTCCTTGGCTCAGTGCACTTTGGGGTGGGGCCAGCACGGCACGCAGGACTGGGGATCAAACCTTGGTCCCTGCTCTTGCCAAAGCAGGCGCTTAGTTTACTCAGCTATCTCGCCGGCCTGTGGCAGGTTTTGAGCAGAGCTCTGGCCTCTGCTCCGAGTGACAAGGCCCCCTGCTCCCACGGGGACAGCAGCACGTGTCTCCAGGCATCTTTGCTCCATGTCTCTGGGAGCGAAGGGACCCTAAGCTGGTGGTCTGATCAGAGTCTGACCCTGCCAAGAGGTCACTGAGAAGGAAAGGGAGGAGCTGGGGCCCAGCGGGTCAGGGGTAGCCGTGGGCCTCAGCCCCAGGGACTGGGTCCGGGAGAGCCGGGGACGAGGGAGCACAAGCGCCTCCGCAGCCCTCTCCTCCAGGACCCCAGGACTCTCAGCAACGGCGCCCGGGGCGGGAGCTGCTGGCGCCGGCTGGGAGCTGGTGCACCTTCTCCAGGCCCAGACCCTGGTGTCCTGAGCAGGCCCCACAAGCCAGGGAAGGGCGGGACGCACCCATGAGCATCATCATCTGGTAGTACATGTAGTTCATGTAGCCCCTGAAGTAGGCGATGGCGTGCGTCTTCCCCGGCAGGAAGTAGATGTAGATGGTGTGCTTCCACCCTGTGGGCGACACGGGCCGGGTGAGCGCCAGTCTCTGTGTGGATTCCTCTGAAGGAAGGAATTCCCAACCTGATGCTTACGGGTCACAAAGGCGCCTGGCGCAGTTCCCGAGTCCAGGGGCAGCTTGAACTCAATGCAGCCAATGGGTTTCCTGGAACACGGGGCATCAACAGGCACGAGTGAAACCCCGGGCAGCCCGGACTGGCATCTCTCGGGCCCTCTGGAGGCTCCTGGCTGACTCTAGAGGAGAGAGCTCAGGAACTCCTGGCTGGCACTTTCTTTTCTACAGTATTAGGGATATAAGTTGGGGTACTGTACTACTGAGTGTCATCTCCAGCCTGTCTGTCTGTCTGTCTGTCTGTCTGTCTGTCTGTCTATCTGTCTGTCTTTCTACCTGCCAACTTATGCATCCATCCATTAAACTTATTTTTCAGAGAAACTGAATCACTAGGTCGCCCAAGTTGTCCCCAGACTTGTGATTCTCCTGCCTCGGTTTCCTGAGCGTCTAGGATTACACGCTGGTGCCACATGACAGCTAGACTTCCTGTGTAATATCAGGCCACAGCCCCCACGGTGTGGCTTGCTGGGAGCTCCATATTCCCTCTCCAGGTGGCACCAGCTGGGAAGCAGCTGGGCAGGCGGGGAGCTGGTGACCCGTCCACAGCCCGGCACCTGGCTCACACCTGGCCGTGTCCCACCTGGGAGCCGGGGTGGCCCTGGATCTCCAGATGTTTCCCCAGATGGATTTCTCAGACGTCAGAGTCCTGAACCTATCCTCTCTCCAGACTGGGCTCCTCACAGACTATGGGATGCGCTGAAGAATCCTGAAGGACCCCGAGCTCTGTCTGAGCATAGAAATGAGCACAGTGCCTGCCCAGGGCTGCTCCAGGCCCACGGGGTGCTGTGAAGTGAAGCCCAGTCCCAGCCCGCACAGAACGTGGCGGGTGGGTAGCTCAGCCTCACGTGGCCAGCTCTGTGGCAGTGTGAGAACTGTCTGTAGAGCTAGAGGCCACGTGGCACACAGCCAAGATACAGAGAACGGAAGACTTGGTCCACGCAGAGTGACAGAGTTCAGATGCGCGTGGAAGCGGGCACTATCCAGCCAGGCGCAGAGAGGGCAGCCAGGCTAAGGCCAGGTTACTCACATGAGGTTCATCCTGAACTCCAACTTATTTTGATTGTTTATGCGCATGGTGAAGGGAGGCATGGGGTGGTTTTTGGTCTCCTCAGGAATAGGCATGTCTCCTGCCCAGCGTACCATGTACCAGGTTCCTGGAAGCTGGAGAGGGGGAAAGCCACCCCTGAGCAGGGGTGCAGGGGTGGGGCAGCCAGCAAAGGAGGTCCAGGCTGGACTGAAGGGGGCACAGAGGCAGGAGGGGTCGTGGCTTAGGGCCTCAGCACAGGCTGCAGGGGCCTGAGATGTTGGAGGAGAGAGAGGGATCCTGGCCATGGCCTGGCCCGCTCCACCAGCAGGGGGCTGAGGCAGGAGGGCCAGTCCAGAGGCCCACCTGGAGAAGGGTCCCTGTGCAGACCTCTGGGGGGAAGTGGGAAAAGCCGCCCAAATGGGTAGGTCGGACCCTTATCTTTAAGGGAACAGGAGAAGAGGACAGACGGGATCCACAGGTGACCAGCGCACGTGGACGGCAAGCAGAGGCCCTGACTGAGGCTCAGAGGTCCAGAAGGCCACAGTCACCAGGCTGTCGCCTGGGCCTCCTTCCTCTGCCCGTGCCTGGGTCCTCCACCAGTGTTCTGCCAAATCCAAGAGACAAGAACCCCTGAATTGGACAGTCGCAGAGTCCTTAAATACACGACTCCAGGCCAGCCCAGAGCCAGTTCCCATCTTGTCCACAGCTCTCCAGGTCATCTGCCTCCTGCACCCAGGGCCTCGAGGACACAGGCAGGCCCGTATGGTTGGGGCCGGCCTGGGCGCAATGCACCCAGACCACGCATTGGTGTGGGGATAGCCCGGGGCCCATTTGAGACCAGGTCAGTAGATGAGGGAAGCTGTGAGCAGGCACAGTTCTCCACTGCTGCTGGGTCCTGGGGCTATGTCCAATCTTCACAGGGGCTTAACTCTTGTCCTAAAACTCACCTGGGTCAGGGTTAAAATTAAGTAACTCTGGGGAAATCCTTAGGCTTGTGAACACTCGTGCACAAGGCTCACTGAGAAATGGAGATACCGGAGTGAATCCGTTCTGGTGAAGGCAAGAAGCTTCTCTGGAGCCCACAGCAGACAGTGGAGAAGCAGATCCCTGGCCCGCAAGGGTGCTAGCACTCAGCCCAGCCCCTCACCACCACTCAGCTCTGTGCACCCTCCGGGAAGGCAGCAAGAGGGAGCACTGTCCCTCAGGGACTGCTTGGTCCTGCACCTCAGCTGAGCAGACTGGAGGGTGCAAAGCAGGGCATCCGGCCAACATCTGCCTGGGGCTCTGATTAAGGGCGTGAAACCATTCCCCAATCTAGGCCCGGATCTTGGAACCTTAGGTCCCCCAGTGTCCCCAGGGGTGTCACCTCCTCAGCGCGAGCAGGAACCAGTGGAGGCAACTCAGCCTGCACTGCAGAGAAGAGGCTCAGCCCCGTGGCCAGCAGGAGCAGCTGCATGGTCCCGGGTCAGCTCTGTGCTCCCGCTGGCCGCCCGCTGCCCTTTTATCCCAGCCCGGTTGCCTGGAGGACGCTGCCTCCTCCCCTGCGCGAAGGCCCCGCCGTCTGCTCTGCAGAACCACTACCTTGTTTTGTTTGGACCCTGTGAATGGGCAGCGGTAATCTGTGTAATCAGCCTCCGCAACTGTCCTTGGACACATCCCGAGGAAGCATCGTCCAGGAGGACGGCCTCAGAGACAGCAGCACCCGCCTTGGGACTCTGCAGCCAGGAAGGTGACAACAGGAGCTCCTTGTGCTCCGTCCCAGCCCAGAGTCCGGCTCAGCTCTGGTTCTGCCACGAATTCCCCAAACACTTCCTCTGGCTTCCAACACGCTTTCCCATCGTTCTTGCCGCTTCCTGAAGCAGTCAGGAAAGTCCCCTTCGCGTGTGTCTCTAGTGGCACTGGTGTGGACTCAGTTCCAAACAGTAACCTTTCGTGGTCGCTTTTACTTTGAGGAGGAGCCAGGAGTCGCACGGTGCCAGGGCTGGCAAGTAAGCGGATGGGGACACACCACAGTGCATTTGTGACCCCGTCTTTCCTTCGGATGGCACTTAGAAGCACTGTTCATTGTGCTTTTGATTAGCGTGTGGTGGGGCGAGTAAGAATTACTTTCTTCCTGGGGACTGGAACACGTACATATCCGTCTTACTCCTTTTGTTACTGGGGTGTGTCCTACTGTGATGATAAAGGAAATCAGAGACGGAGGAGGTAGAGTCCAGGGGATTTTATTTTAAAGACATAAAGGCAAGGAAATAAAGCTCCTGCTAGCCAGCAGGGCTCTCTGAGCGGGTCATCCACAAGGGCTCTTTGTCTGAGGTTCTTACAGGATTTAGGAGGGAGCTCGGGCTGTTGTACAAGCAACACAATGTCTACCCTAGAAGGCACCGGAGAGTTTCAGGGTCTAATCTGCACAGTGTCCACGCAGGGCTGCTGCGCTCTGTGTCCACGCGGTGGCCTGTCTGACCGTGCTCTGGGGAGGTCTCGGACACCAAAGGACACCCCAGCAGACGTTTTTGGAAGATCCCTGGAAGTCGTCACCCAGCAGATCCCATGCTGAGTTTGCTAACTGTCCTTATGCCAAGGAGACATGTCTCATTCGACAGCAGCCGGTCACCCCAGGGCCCCAACCCGGGGGTGCGTTGCTCCTCTTAGCTTGCCACTGTCTCCCGGAAGCCCCAGCTCCCGTGTGTTTAACCTCTTCAGCTTGCAGGTGCCAAGCCTGCAGTGCCACAAGCATGGAAAAAAGTCACTGTGAGGCTTCAGGCCCCCCTGCTGTCCCCCACAGGGCTGCGGTGGGCTAGTCCATGGTCAGCTTGGGTGGGAACGCCCAGCTGAACCGGGTCAGTGTGGTTCTGGGCATGGAAGATCCACCTGGGGATCTCTGCCAGAATGGCATGGGGGAGAGCGGGAAGAGAAGAGGGTGCGGGGCCGGGTTCCCTGGAGAAGCTGTTTGGGGGCACTTTTTCTCCACAGAAACTTTGACTGTTTTCTCCTCCTTGTGCACGTTTCCTCCCGGCTTCCAGGGCAGATCTCTCAGTGCAGTGGAAAAGGGCTTCCCAAATACCCCTGGAGTTATGCTCAAGGCCAGCCTCTGAGGTGACACTCCCCCACCCCCTATCCCCCCAACCCCCTACCCCTGCCCAGGGTCTCTCCTGCCTAGTAGACAATAAGAGGTTGAGAGCAGGTGGACCAGCAAGCTCCAGGACCCCGAGATCTGGGCCTTTCCTACATCCTCCCGGGGTCACTCACCCTAGAGTCATGTGTAGGGCTCAGCTTTCCACAAAAAACAGGAAAAGCCTGGTGGAGAGAAGGCGCCCTGTGCTCGGGCCCAGCACCGTCACACGTAGCCCAGGCCCTCCCGCGACCACGACCCTCAGCAGGGAGGGAAAATGAGGACCCAAGGAACAAAAAGACACGGAAGAGACACAGAGAGACTAAGTGAGCCTCAGAGACGTGGAGAGAGACGGAAGTCACAGCGGGAGGGAGCGCCGAGGACACGAGGGTGCCAGGAGAGCTGCGCGGTCCTCCTCCACTTCCCGCAGCGCTCACTTGGGCTTAAAGGCTTCTAGGACGCCAGGTTCTGCACATCAAGCCTTCCTGTGGGAGCAGGGCCGGGTGTGCAGAGGGGACGGCGGCAGCACCCTGCTGGGAGCTGATGGCCCAAGGACACGGCCACCACTCAGCCCTAGGAGAGTTCTCCTAGAGCAACTGGGGCCAAGAGAAGCGGGGACCTCAGAGTAAGCGCTCCAAGGCACTGCTACACTGAGTCATGAGCAACTGCGACACCTGGCTGGGTCTCCAGAAGGCCCGCGGTTATTTGTGTTTGGAGTTGTTTTTTGTTTTGTTTTGTTTGTTTGGTTTTTTGCGGAACCAGGAATTGAACTCAGGCCCTTGCGCTTGCCAGGGAAGCTCTTATTCTACTGAGCCATCTCCCTGGCCCCAAGATTTTTTTTTATTTGAGTTCTCTGGATATTCTAGTATTAGTCCTTTGTCAGAGAGGAGCCGGCGAAGTTTCCCCACTCCACAGGCCGTGCGTCCACTCGGTGAGGGTTTCTCTTGCTGCGCGGAGGCTTTTGTGTTTGTGGAGCCCTGGTGTCAGTTCTGGGCGTTATTTGCTCTTGGAGCTCTGCTCAGCAGCCCTTGCCTGCTCCTGTGGCTTCCAGTGTTTCTCCCGCGTTATCGTTCAACAGTTTCTATGGTCCTGGTTTCAAATCTAGATATTTCGTCTGCTTTGATGCAATTTTAGCGCTGAGTGAGAGATATAAGGTCTAACTTCGATTTTCTCCGTGTATATAATGAGTTTTTCCAACACTATTTACTATAGAGACTTTCTTTTACTCAGTGTACACTTTAGCCGTGTTATCAAAGCTCAGATGGCTGAAGGCCCACGAGGACTTGCCGTTCGGTTCTTTTTGCCTACATGTCTATTTGTGTGCCGGTACCATGCTTTGTAGTGCTACAGAATTACAAAATAACTTGAAATCAGGAATTGTGGTGCCTCTGATTTTGCTCTTTTCATTTAAGATTGATGAATGTCCCCTCAAATAAACCACCGAATGAAGACATGAGTGGGCTGAGTAGAGAGTTCTCAAAAGAAGTTCCAGTGGCCGATGAGCACACACACACGCACACACACACACACACACACACACACGCAAATCACCATCTCTAGCCATTAGAGAAATGCTAATCAAAGCAACTGAGATCCCTTCTACTGAGATCCATTCTTAGTAAGAATGTAAACCAGCACAAACACTATGGCAATTAGTAGACAAATTTCTCAAAAAATGAAAATAAGAGATTTCATCCAACCCAGCTATATCTCTCTTGGTTATAGTACCCCCAAGGGTTAAAGATACCACTTTACAGTGACAGAAGCATGCTTGCGTTTAGAGCAGCACGGTCCACAGTAGCCTAGGTGTCCATTAATAAGGGAACAGGTAAGGAACCTGTGGTATACGCACACCACCAAACTTGACCTAACATAAAGAAGAATGCATTTGTGTCACTTGCAGAAAAACGGATGGCCTTAGACCATAATATTCCATGCCATAAGACATAGAACGTGACACATTGCACAGTCTCTTCTCGGGTCAGTGCCCCGCCTGCCCATCTTACAGGAGAAATCCAAGATGCAGATGAGTTCGAGAGTAAAATACAGGCATTTGGGAGTGTGGGGAATGCGGGGCCAGGGTGAGGAAATGCGGGAGGAAGGGGATCAAAGATGACCAGGACACAGCACACGCAGGCTAGTAACCTCATGGAGGTGACGTTGTACAATGCAGATGTAGGCCAACAAAGAGGACCTGCAGGGTCACATGCCAGCCCTGCAAGCCCCCGGCGTCCCAGGGCACGAGGCTGTCCCCTGACCCTGGAGGGATCCTGCACATGGAAACATGGCAGGACACGCCTTCACGTTGCCCTGGCCTGAGCCGACATTCCAGGAAGTGCCCTTGGCAGCTCCTGCGGCTGGAGCCCTCTGGGGGAGCAGGTCTCTGAAGCCTCCAGCCGGGGCTCCCCACCATCACTTTAGGGCGTGAATGCTGCTTGGACATTCACGGAATGTCAGGCCAGCGGCTTCCCTGTCCTCTGCTGCTGGGATGTGTATGTTACCTGTTCCTCTGGCTTCCCAAGCAGAGATAATGGATGGGAGGCAGTCTCTGAAGATGCCCTCACCCGCCAGCTTTTCCATTTTGTTTGTCATCCCAAGAAGCGGGTGTTCATCATAAAAGGTGGATGGCCCTTCCTTCCCTGGCAGGTCGGCTGCATACACGAGCATCTCACCCTGAACTGTACGTGAACAGAAAAACACAGCTCCTTAGCGTCTTCGTTCTGAGTGAAACTCTTTGAGACCACATTAAGTAACAGTCTGAGACATTGTGGTAACCCACAAGACTCAGGCAGCCTGAGTCAGTCCTTGTGGTGGCTTCAACCCCAGCTGTGGAGTCGGGGTCACAGAGGCCAGGTGCACTGAGGCTGGAGCGTGGCCCAGCCCTGGCTCACTGCCCCGCTCTGAGGAGGCCTGGCCTGAGCAGGCTGCACTGCGGGCAGTCCCGAGATCCCAGGCATCTCTGTGTGGGTTCTAACACTTCTGCTACCATGGTAACCCTGATGCCCACATGACTGGCTGCACAGTCTCCTGGGGGACTAGGGAGGCACACTCCGGGCAGGCCATGGAGATGTGACCTGGAGAATCTACCTGGTCCCGGGCCGCTTCCTCTCTGGCTCCTTCCCCCACTCTCTGCTTCCGGGACACTATGCATTGAGCTGTCTTCCTCCGCTGGACCCTTGGAGCCCAGCGACCCTAAACGGAAAACTCCGACATGCTTAACCACATCGAGCCTTTCATTCTGTGAGCTCTGTGCATCACACATTAACTCATAGTGATGAGAAGCTAATCGATACATCTGGAAAGGGAGGGTGTCCCATCCTGGGAGCTGAACAGGGTGGGGGTGCGCC